AATTCAAATATTGAATTATTATATTTATTGTTATAATTATAAACTGAGAATTATAATATGTTTATTTATTTTATTGGCATCACCTGGGTACCTATTACTATTATAACCGTTTTGTTTTATTTTTAGAAAAACGTTTTTCTTTATTGTGTAATAGTTAACCAAAAAAAATTAGTCCAGATCATAAAAAAAAGAAACCTATACATTTCGTTACTAGGAGAGAGGGAGGGAATTTACGAGTTACGCTTGGGGAAACTTGTACAATCGCAATTATTATTTCAGTATAATCGTTTATGTTATCGGACGAAAAAAGAAAAAACATTAACACACATACACGTAGGGTACCTAAACGATAAATTAGTTCTGATCGATCAATAATTATATCTTCCGGATTCCGAAACAATCAAGTAACCCGGTGCGCATTGTCAGTCGCGAACCGTTGCATCCACGTCGAATTTGCGCGCCATCAAAAACATCGCCAGATCACGTTGCCGTTGCGATGTCGTTACGGTTGTTACTGTTTTAATTATTTACGAGAAACGCGTTGCATTGACGTCAACTGTTCAACATCGACGCGATATTAAAATGAATATCACTGCCGATGACTCTACACATTTTTTATCTTGTAATTCATCCCCGAGCAATATTGCCGGCGTGTTATAAATGTAATCCCGCCTGCATAGCACAGGTTAATACTGACGCGACGACATAATAACAATAAATAATGTTATCGGTGGTTTTTACGCTGTAGGAAGTGTATTATATTTTTGTAACTACGACGTGTGTGTCTATGTACAGGGCCACGTGTTATTCCGTCGACGGACTCTGATCGGTGTTAGGCCATCAACCTATAATCACCATTGGACATTCTTATATAGTTTGTTGGGGTATTATCATTTATCACGTTGTAACGTGTTTTGTGCAGCCGCCTACGAGAACGAATTATTATATCGTAAATAATCTCAATATTATTAATCGTTGTACTTGATATTCTGATATTCTTAATAATTTCATTTACGTACACGCGTTATGCGTGTACCTATATAATTGATCGAAACGTCCAAGTGAATGGCACCGATGAGACAGGTGAGTATTTTTTTTTTTGTTACTTATGTCAAACGAATTTGTTTGTAACGCCCTTTCGTATTTTCTGTAAAATATTTAGAAACGTGCGTCACAGGTAATTGCACTGTTCATTGAATCCAGAACAAAAGGCGTTGTCCCGATCACATGGATTTATCAATCAACCGATAATATTGGTAAAATAACGTTATTCGCAAAGTGGCCACCGAAATCGGATACTAATGTTACCAGTGAAACTATTTATAATGCAACACTTCCGTCAGAATATTGAGCGTCTTATAAAATACGCCTTTTGGAGAACAGCACAGAATAATGTAAGTACCAATAACTGATTACAACGTAGGTTCTGTATGTATATATTATGCACCTAGGTATTAATTTTTAAAAAAAAAGGGCTGATATTGAAGATTTGTGTACCACTATTGTTACTGGTAAATTGGTAAGGTTATGTGATGCATAATATTCTCTAACTTATATCTCTAGGAATATAACCATAAACCATTACTAACAAAAAAAAAATATTTGGAGTGATAACTTTAACTTCAGTGATAATAATGTTTGGAAATTTGTAAATTGTAATTTTTTTTTTTAAATTGTACTTTAAAACATTTTTGAAAAAACTACACCATTTTTTTTTACTACTAAGTACAACTTATAATGAATCCTGTGTTCAATTTGCAAGCATTTCTGGTTTGTCAAACAATTTTATTCATATGATAGGTACATACCAATAGGTACCTATATATTTTCTCATTATTATAATTATTCAAACAAAATTGTTTTTATTATCTTATGAGTTTTATTTTTTATTTAGATAACTTCAATAAAGCATGACATACAAAAGTTGAATATGTTAATTCCACCACTGAAAGTGAAGAAATATCTAAAAGTTTGAGAAAATAAAATGTATACTGGACTCCGAAAGTGATGTTGAAGGCAAGTAGATTAAAAATTAAAATAGTTGTAGTAATGTGAAAAAGTAAAATTCAAAATATTTGAGTAGATAGGCACAGAAAAGAACGAATGGGTTTAGACATGTTTACTTTATTTTTTGAATTTGTTTTAATACAATATTATATGTCTTCATTACTCAGTAAAACTCAAAACTTGGTATTATGATAGATTCAGTTCTAATAAATACCAATATTTATATTAATTAATTATATTTCAAATAAAATGTTAATTTGTATCTTCTATGGGAGAAAGAATTAACTAGGTACTAATAAAATCAAAAGAGTACCATGCAAAATTACCTACCTGCCAACTAGATTAAATTGTCTGTTGTAGTAATTAAAAAATTATATGGTAGAAAAAATGTTAATTTCTATCTTGTATGGGAGAAAAAATTAACTAGGTACTAATTAAATCAAAAGAGTGACATGCAAAAGTACCTACCTGCTAACTAGATTAAATTTTCTGTTGTAGTAATTAAAGAATTGTTTAATTAAATGGGTATTTACAATTTTAGAAAGTATTTGGAATAATATTTAACAGGTATTTACTTTTAATTTTTAAAAAAAAAGACTTATGTAAATACTTCAGAAAAATATGATCAATATAATAAAATTGTAATTTAAAACAAATTAAATATAATATTCTCTAGATGATATTG